CTGGGCTGCCCTCCTGCCACGGATGGGTTTGTGTGGCATGGTTGGTAGCCCTCACTCCCTGCCTTGGAGCCCTGCAGAGATGGGAAAACGGGGTGGGCTTCATTTGATGAGAGAGATCTCTTGCTAGTGGGGCATCTGGGACCCATAAAAGACTGGGAGAGGTGGCTGGGAAGGGTTCCGCGGTGATGACAAACTCTCTCTCTCCCCCTGCTTAGTATGGCTTGGGTGGGTGGCAACAGACCTGCCACGAGCTCTGTGGTAGGGACGGCTGGTGTCTCGTCGTCTTCCCCCACCCAGCCAGCCAGTCCCTTGGCACAGGCCTGCCTCTGGTTCGTGCCAGAGCTGGGGGCACTGCCAGCCAACAGACGGTGGTTTTTGCCGCCAACCTCCCCGTGGGTTGGCAAAGGAGGTGGCTGAGTTGGTGGAGACATGGTGGCAACAGCCATGGGCGCAGGGTGGGTGGCAGCAGAGGACTTGTTGAAACGGTCTTGTTCCTCTTCCACTTTGGAATAATGGCGGGGAGGGGGGAGAAAACCCTCTTGGCTGTGGCCTGTTGTGGTAGGACTTGGAAGGCAAGGATAATAGGGTGGGTGTGATCCTGGGTTCCTCGGTTTGGGTGCAAATGGGACTTTTGTGAATAAAGAAGGAAGTGTGTGTCTGTGTGTCTGCATAACTACTTCTTTATTTTAGTAGAGGAGATAGCAACCTAAACCCTTTCCCTGGAAGATTAAATCTCTGCAGCCTGATCATTGAGAGGGAGCTTCTGGGTGGGTGTAAAATGATAAGAGGATTGTGTCTTTGAGCAATGGGGCAATGCAACAAGCACCATCCTCCTTTCTCCCCTCTTCTCTCTCTCCCTTTTCTCCCGGCCATAGGAACAGGAATGTGCCTGGTGCGTTCCTGGGAGGGTGTTAGTTGGTGAGAATCTAAACAGCAAGACAGGGTCTGCAGGATAGGCAACTGGAGGGGAGGGGGGATGTCGGAAGAGCTTGCCCTTTTAACCGGCTGTCAGCTCTGCCAGGCTCTTCCTCTTCCTCCCCTTCTCCTGCCATAGGATCTTCCAGTTGGCTTGCCCCCATAGCAGGCACCCCACACTGCGTTAAGAGGAGAGCAAAGTTTTGCAAGAGGCCTTGCCTCTTTAGCTGACGGGACTCTATACCCCTTTCCCTCTAACCGCCCTGATCCAAAATGATTGCGCCAGCTTGGAGGTCCAGCCCAACTGCAGGATTGCCCTGCAGAGAAGAGAAGAGAAGAGCGGGGTGGACCAGGAAGCCAAATTTCCTCTCCCCCCAGCCACCACCGCTCACCTGAGGCCTGATGTACACAGGTGAGTTGGTTCCAGCGTGAAATATCATTGGCACACGCACCATTCTTTGTGCATCATTTAGCACATCAGCGGGGCCCTGTAGGTGCGTCTAGGATCCCAGCTTACATCGGATGGAGGTTTACAGTCCATTTGGAAGGCCACATGTTCCCTATCCCAGACTTTTTACTTTAGGGGCCGTGCAAATGTTCGCTAGCATCACTGAGGGCCAGCCTGCATCGCGCAGCATCAGGTGCATGAGCTTGCAGTTGGGTACCACTATACACATACACAATTTTTGTCTTGACAACATGAACACTGCCATTTTTCTATTTCTTTTTTTAAAAGGGTGGAGGTATAGCCCTCTCCCACAGATAAGGCCTCCTGCTGACACCCAGGCTATCCTGGTACATGAGGTTTCTGCTTCTTTTAATGTGTGGCATCCATGTCTGGAAAAGCAATCCTATGCAAAGACATTTCGGGGGAAGTTTTGCATTGCTGGGAGAAATGCCCTGATTGTCATAATCATGTGAAGGGCCCCCACCCGCCTTAAACTCCACGACAGAGGGGAGGGGGTCCGGCTCTGTTACACCCCGGGAGGACTCCGCTGGTGGGGGTGGCGGGGGGAGTGTATCTGGTAGCACCAGCCGGAGAACAGTAGCCCATTCAGCACACTGTGTTTAGTTCTCTGCAGGCGGCTGATGTCACGGCCTTCCCCCCCCTTTTTTCCTCCACCGCCTTCCTAATTAGTGAGAACAGGACTGTGTGTGTGTAAGAGAGAGAGAGAGTTGGGGCTGACTCACATGCTGCAGCCGGGGGAGGCGAGGGGGGAGCAGGGCTGGCTTGTTTCTTCCCCGGCCCCCTCTTTTTCTCTCGCCCCCCCCTTCCACCCTCTTCAAACTCACAGGAACTGGGAGATGGGATGTCGTCCACCCACTCCACTGCTGGTGGAAAACAATTGGGGGGCCTGGATGGGGCGCAAAACCAGGAGTCAAGCGGGGCATATAGGGGAACCTAAGATGTACCTGGAAATGGCTTCTCCCCCCCCTTCCACCAGCCCCAAACAGGTGCTACTGAGCTCGATGCTTCACAATGCACTCCTTTTGTGAAGAAGAGGGAGCAACTTGCTCCAAACTTTCTCCTCTCCCCCCCAAAAACGTGGCTGATATTGGGGAGAAGGGACCCCTCTGCTTTTCGAACCAAGAGTCCTGCATGGGCACCTGCTGTATCCGGGGCTGCTTTTGTGCCGGGCATGGGGGCGGGGGGTTGTTGTGCCTCCCCATGCCGCCAGTGCGTAGTTGTGGGGTGCCTGTGGCTGCCTCTCCTTGGGGTGCTGCCCAGTTCACGCTGTGCCTTCTCTCCCTTCCTCCCCGTTTATTTTTAGCCTCTTGTCTCCCTTGCTGTTGCCTGTTGCTTGGAGACTGGTACTTTGTGGGGGGGGAGCGGGGTGGTTTCTGTTTGTAAAAGGCCCTTGTGGTGCCAGGGAGCAAGGCAGCGAGGAAGATGCTCAGCTGAAATTGTGGTTCGGGGGGGGTGTTGCACAACTCTGCTTCCCCATCCCTGCCTGGACCACACTTTAGCCCTGCCCTTTTGCCTGTTGGAGAATTCATGGGTGCCGGGGCTGTTGGGACACACATGCAACACGGAATAGCTTTGGAGCGCCCCCCTCCACAAGGCATGCATCTATGGGACCCACCTCTAGCCCTCCCGCCCCCCCTCTCCTCTCCAGATGACATCACCACCCTAATGGCTTGGTCTGTGCGCCGAGATGCCCTTGAGCCGGCGCCCGCCCGCGTCCCCAGCCTCCATTACAGGGCCCTGAATTATTGATGGGCTCAGAGCGCCTGGGGTTTGGGAAATGGGAAACCACAGTGCCCCCCTCCTCCCCCCCCCGGCAAAGCTCAGACACCCCCCTCCCCCAAGGCATTGGGCATAGGCTCAGCAATTTCAGGCCAAGGAGATCATGATGGGTTTGGCGAGGGGGGGGCGGAGAGAAAAGCGAAGAAGGTTGTGGGGTGATGGTCTCCCTAAAACCACCCATATACTCGTTGCTGTGTGAGGGAGTTCAACTGCTTTCTCTGTATGGATTTGGTGTGCCAGGCATGCCCTACTGACCCGTACACAAGAGTGGCATTGCCCTTGGAGCTGAGGCTGTTGGACCCAGGACCTGGGAGACCTGGATTCAAATCCCTCACAAAGGGCTGTTGGGAGGGTTTACATACAACCCTGTGAGCCTTGCTGACGAAAGGAAAGATGGGATGTAAATAAGTTTTTTACCAAACAGTGGGTTCGCGTGGCACTGAGTTTGTGAGGCGCGCAAAGGTCGTAGCGTGTCCCAACTGGAAGGGCCCCCAGGATCCTTTAGGGAGAGCTTCCCCCCCAAAAAATCGCTTTAATTTGTAGGTGATGGGCGCACCCCTTCTGTTCCTCGGGCCTAGTTGGAGGCCCCATTCCCTGCAGGGCCAGCATGGAAACAGCCCTATTGTTTTCCCTTCCGACTTCCTGTTTATGAGAGGGCAGCTAAAATTTGGCGAGGTGGGTGGGAACAGGCGTGTTATCCCTCCCCCCCAATCCCAGGATGTGTCGGAATCAAGTCTGTGGGGTGTTTGGGGACCCCCGCCTGCGTCCCGCCCTCCCCAGAAAAGTTTTGACCCTTGGTGCTGCCAAAGCAGGCCTACTATGCACGGGGTAGTCTTAGGCCTTGGGTGTGCTTCTGACGTCCTCTTGTGTTTTCCAGGCGCCCCCCCCCCCCCCCCGCTGCAGCAGCAGACCCACAGCCACCCCCCTCCCCAGGAATGCTCTGGGGCTGGGCTAGGCTGCTGCCTCGTGGCTGGAAAAAAGGGCCCCTTGTCTGGGAGCTGCTGACCTCAGCCACTAACCATCCCCCCCCTTGCCCAGTGAGAACATGGCACAAAGAGCCTTCCTTCCCCCCCTTTTCCTCCCCCCCCTTTAAACATGTTGATGCTTCCCTCTCTCTGTGTGCCATAATGGGGCTGATTCTTCCCAGAGTTGCTAAGCTGCACCCCTTAGGTCTCCTTCCCCCCCCCCTTCGCTCAGTGTGTGTTTTGCTCTAGGGGTGGAGATTGTTGTACAGGTATGGATCCCCGGGGCAGGACTCTGTAAGTTTGCTGATGGAGGCCGCCAGCTCTGGCTTCTTTGCTCCCCCCCCCCTCCTCCCTCCCAGGTAGAGGGAGACTTAACATCAAGAGGCAAGCCTGGGCTGTTCCTCCCTCCCACCCACGCTTGGAGGAGGATCTGGTTGGGACCCAGCCTGGAAGTCGCAAGGCGGCTTGGCCGGCCTCCCAGCCTCCTGGCTGCACAAGAGGAGAGGCGGCGGCAGCGGCAGCCGCCGGTTTCCTGTTTTTCCCCTCCCTGTGTGTGCGCTGGGGGGGTGGCAGGGAGGGGAGAGAAATCCATGCGCCTCGTAGTTTCATCCTGCGGGGAGATGGGCCGGCGGAGTCCTGAACTTCCAGCCCTCCCTTGGCTGTAACCACTGTGCCCTACTGCCAGCACTTACCGATGGGATGCGGGAAGCGGGTCAGAGTATGGGAAATGGCAGTACCTTTCTTCCAAGTCTCCCCCTTCTTTTTCTTTTAACAGGAAAATTATTTGCTTCTCTCTCTCTCTCCCCCTCCCCGCAACCTGGCTGCTGCCTCCTCCACCCCGAGCTGGCTAACTCTACTTTTCTCCTTGCCAGGGTTCGCCTTCCCAGACTGGGCCTACAAGCCAGAGTCGAGCCCCGGCTCGCGCCAAATCCAGCTGTGGCATTTCATCCTGGAGCTTCTGCGCAAAGAGGAATACCATGATGTCATTGCCTGGCAGGGGGACTATGGCGAGTTTGTCATCAAGGACCCGGACGAGGTGGCTCGCCTCTGGGGGGTGCGGAAGTGCAAGCCCCAGATGAACTACGACAAGCTGAGCCGGGCCCTGAGGTGAGTCTGGGGGGCGGGAGCTGGCAGAAAAGGGAAACCCCGAGAGTCTGCTTCCCTTGTCCCTGCCCTCCTGGGCTGTTCGAACCTGGCTGTGTTTTTCACGCCTGTGCACCTGCTGTGTAAACCCTGGGAACCAATATATGGAGTGGGAATCTGTATCCTGAGACCGCAGCCTTTTTAATTTTCTAAACATTGCATGGTGCTAGTCCTTAACGGCTCCAGAAACAGCTTGGCAGCACCTGGTTAAATCCAGAAACAGGGCTGAGTGAACAGAGGGGAAGACTTCAGAGTTCATTGTCTGCCTCCCACTTCGTTTGTGAACACACTTCTCTGCTTAATCCTTTGCCCCTGTCTGACCACACACACAGATACACTATTTTCTGAATCTTCAGAGCAGAATGAATTGTGGAAGCCGTCAAATGTTGCCTCCTTCATTCTGAGTTTATTTTTTGCTTTCGTTGGTGCATAATACATAATTTTTAAGAAATCATAAAATTGTAGGGTTGGAAAAGGGACCATGAGGGTCATTTAGCCCAACTCCCTGCAGTGCAGGAATCTTTCATTCATCTTGGGGCACAAACGCATGACCCTAGTGCTAATCACGCAAGCTCCCAGTTCTCTGCTTTGTTTTGTTCTGCTCACCTTTGCAAAAGAGGCTCGGCTCAAAATGTGTGGCACGCGTGTGAAACCGCACCAACCAATTGTGCCTGGCCATAGTATTGCTTTTGGAACGGTGCCTCACAACGACCCTGTGAGGTAGGCCTCTCTTGCTCCTCCCTGAGAGACAAGTCTTCCCATCACCCCAAATCCACAGGCTCAGGTTTGCGCTGGTTCTGTGTATCTAAATGGAAGACCTCTGGCTTTTTTTTTTTTTTGCTGCGCCCCAATGCTCGTCACCCTCTGGCCGTTGACTGTGCTTGCTATGGCTGATGGGAATTGTAGTTCAGCAACATCTGGCGGGACAAAGGTTCCCCATGCCTGATAACAGTGATTTGCGTATAGTCCTGCTGGGAGGTTCCATCACTTTTGCAGAGGGATGGCTGCAGAGCAGAGGGTGCTGGATTCAGTCTGATTCAGAAGCAGGTGATGAGGAAAGACCTCTGCTGGAGAACGGCTGCCATTCAGAGCAGGTTGTTCTGGGCAAGATGGCCAAAGTCCAACATGGTACAAGGCAGCTCATAGTGCCAGAGCTGCAAGCTGGCATGATGGCCATTTTGGAGTCTGTACAGAGTTTGTAGCTGGAAAGGCACATTCACGCCATATACAGTGGTACCTCGGGTTACATACACTTCAGGTTACAGACTCTTCTAATCCGGAAATAGTACCTTGGGTTAAGAACTTTGCTTCAGGATGAGAACAGAAATTGTGCTCCGGCGGCGCAGCAGCAGTGGGAGGCCCCATTAGCTAAAGTAGTGCTTCAGATTAAGAACAGATTCAGGTTAAGAACGGACCTCCAGAACAAATTAAGTACTTAACCCGAGGTACCACTGTATTTAAAACTATGATACCACTTCCTGCAAAGAATTCTGGGAGGTGTAGTTTGTTAAGGATGCTGAGAGTGGCCAGGATACCCTCTGTTCCCCTCCCAGTACTACAATTCCCAGAGCTCCCTGTGAAGAGAGATTGACTGATAAAGCATTCTTGAATTGTAGCAGCGTAGCTGTGTGTGTTTGTGCGCATGCACGTGTATGTGGTGGGGGAGGTTGATAAATCACTGTCTCCCCACCTCCGGTACCCACCTATGCAACAGGGAACATAACCTCACAGCAGGAAATAATATGCATGCTTGTGGGAGCCGACAACTCCAAAGAGACAAATAGAACAGAGGTTTCACTCTTGAATTGGCAGCAAGTAAGGGGCTTAAATCTGTTTCCGCCTCCTGTGAGATGGTGAAAATGAAGCTTTATGAATGTTCTCTAGCCATCACCTGGAGGAGATGGGTATCCCAGGCATCCAAGCAAATGATAAATTTCATGTGCCACCATGAGGTCTAGAAACATGTCTGTTGTTAACAGGTTGTGCTTAATAGGTGCCCAGGCTGCAAAAAACTCCAATCTGTTCTGAGTGTGGAGGAACCACAGAACCGCCCACCAAGCATTCAGAGCCTGAAGAGTTTCTGTAGTGGGTGTTCAGCGGGGCTTGTGAGTCACTGACCTTCCTCTCCTCCTCCTGCGCCTTGTCCTCCTTCAGGTACTACTACAACAAGCGGATCCTACACAAGACCAAGGGCAAACGTTTCACCTACAAGTTCAACTTCAACAAGTTGGTGCTGGTCAACTATCCGTTCATTGACATGGGCATGGCAGGTGAGTTGGGGGGGGAGGGCAAAGAAACCAAAAGTTTAAACCAGGTGCAGGGAACCTTTGGCCTTCCAGATGTTGTTGAGCTACAGCTCCCATCAGTCCCAACAATCGGGAGTCCATGGGCCCAAGGATAATGTTGGGAGTTGTAGTTTGGCACCATCTGGAGGGCCCAAAGGTTCCTTGCACCTGGCTCGAGCGAAGGTTTTCATTAGAGGAATGTTTAGCCGGCAAATGCATGTCAACATTCAGAAGTGGTGAAAGTGATGGGGTTGGGTTTTTTTTGCAAAGATTGGGGGGGCTGTCTTGGTGTACGAACAAAGCACTCCTCCCCTAAATGGTGGTGGCTACACATAGAAAGGCATAATGTAGAATCTAAATCTGGAATCCAAGTGCCTGCTCTTCCCTGTGCACAGGGCCAGGTGCAAAGTCACCTGTTACAGGAATGCATGCGTTCCGTGAATGAGGTTGAGTCCCTGATCTTCCTACCCAAAAGGTTTTTGGGGCTGTGCTACAGCTGATAGAAACTGAAGCCTGAAACATCAGTGGATGTGCAGTGAAGAAGCCAGAATCAATTGCACAACTTTTGGGGGCTGCCACCAAGAAGACTCTCCTGGGCCATCACTATCACCCAAATATCTGAGGGAGGTGGAAAATTGGCTGATCTAAAAGCCCGGGAGGGAGGGAAGGAGGTCGTCTTTCAGGTACTGTACTAAGATAGCTCATTTGGTTAGAGCGGGGTGCTGATGACTTTGCAGGTTCGATCCCTGTATGGGGCAGCTGAATGGCAGGTATACGGGTTGCAGGTTCGATCCCTGTATGGGGCAGCTGAATGGCAGGGGGTTGGAATAGCAGATCAACAGGGTCCTTTCCAACTCTACAATTATATAAGCCAATCAAGGCTTTATACACAAATGGTAGGCACCTTGAATTAGGCCTGGAAACGGAACAGCTAGCTGATACTGGATAAGTACATGCTAGAATTTTATGTTGTCAACTGCCCTGAGATCTATGGATGAAGGGTGGTATGCAAATTTAATTGAATAATAATAGTAGAATTTTGGAGGGATGTGATAGAAGACAAAGAAAGTGGGGATAGGACTGGGTCAATTTTGGCTACTTCTTCCTTCCTCCTCCCGTATGTTGGATCTCCCTAACTTCTCTTCGTTTCCGCAGGCGGGGCTGTGCCCCAGAGCGCCCCTCCCGTGCCGTCCGGCGGCTCCCACTTCCGCTTCCCCCCCTCAACACCGTCCGACGTGCTGTCTCCCGCCGAAGACCTGCGCTCGCCGGGCGTCTTCTCGGCCGTGGCGCGCCGCCTGGCGCGGGGCTCTGTCAGCGACTGCAGTGACGGCACCTCTGCCAACTCGGAGGTGGAGGAGTCCCTGGCTGAGGAGCAGCGTCGGGGTGGCGGGGACCCCGGCAGCTTCCGGGGCCCCCCAATGCCCGGCCACACCCGCTTGACCCACGACGGCCTCTTCCGGGTCTATCCCCGCCCGCGGGTCCCCGAGCCCCTCAGCCCTTTTCCTGTGTCTCCCATGGCCGGGCCTGCGGGCCTCCTGCCCCCTCAGCTGTCCCCAGCCCTCCCCCTCACGCCCACGCACATGAACTACACCCCTTCGCCCACCCTCAGCCCCATGTACCCCGGCGGCTCCCACTTCTCCTTCAACCCAGAGGACATGAAGCGCTATCTCCAGGCCCACACTCAGAGTGTGTACAACTACCACCTCAGCCCCAGGGCCTTCCTCCACTACCCAAACATCGTCATCCCGCAGCCCCAGCGTCTCGAGAAGCCGCCCCTGCCGCCGCCGCCACCACCACAGGCTGAAGAGCCGCCTTCCCCTTTCAAGTTCAAGCTGCAGCCGCCGCCGTTGGGGCGCCGCAACCGCGACAAGCAGCAGCCCCCCGGCCTGTCCCCGGGAGAGTCCAGCAGCGGCATGCCATCCTCCTCCTCCTCTTCTTCCTCCTCTGCCTCTACATCTGGGGCGGAGCCGCCTCTGCTGCCCCAGATCAAGGTGGAGCCCATCTCTGAGGGCGAGTCGGAGGAGGACCTGACCGTCGAGGTGACCGACATCAGCGAAGACGACGAGGACGTCTTCAAGGCTCCCCTCGTGCCTCTGGAAAAGCTGGAAGAGGAGGAGGAGACCCCGGCGGCCGCAATGGCGGCCGCGCCCCCTGCCTCCCGCGCCGGGGAGAGCGGCAAATGCATCCCTCTCAAGCTGCGCTTCAAGCGCCGCTGGAGCGAGGACCAGAGGCTGGAAGCGGGCGCAGGGGCCGAAGAAACGGATGACAAGAAGGTGAAGGGGGAAGACGACGCCAGCAGCCACAGGGATGGGGTGGGTGGCCGGCGGATCAGCACTGAGCTGCAGCGGGCCACGGCCGAGCTGACCCTGGAGAACCGGGATTCCTAGAGCTGGGATGTGCAGCCCCCCCACGGCTCCCTTCCCAGGACAGACGGACAAAATGGGCAGGAGGGGGAAGAAGGGGGGGCTGGTTTTGCTGCCTTAACTCAGAGATTATCTTTTTACCTTTTGTCAGCTTCCCTTCTCTCCACCCCTCCGTCCCCTGTTTATTCCGGAAACTCTGTAAATTTTATTATTATTTCTTATCTGGAAGCCAGACGAAAAGGAAAAAAGAAAAAGGAGGGAAGAAAAAGAATTAGGGGGCGGGGCGAAAAAAAATTTTGAACAGTTTTTACGTGTCTATATACATATATAAATATATATATATAAACTCTTTGCGGGGAGGGGGGATTTCTAAAAAATTAATATGCTGGGGCGACTTTTAAGGGTTCTCTTATTCCTGTTCAACCCCCTTTCCCTTAAAATCCTTTAAGGTTATGTAGTCCAAGGCCTTTTTTTAAAAAAAGAAAACCCCGCAGGAATGAGTAGGGTTTTTTATTTTTTAAAAGAACGAAAGCTCATAATTTTGGTTTTGCCTTCACAGGGGTTTTTAAGGGGTGGTCTTATTAAAAGAACCCACCTCCCCGATATTTTCCTTCTCTCCCCCCCCCTTGCGATTGGCAAGTTTAAAGCACAATACACTTTTTAATCCTCTAGGGGATTGAGAAGAGAATTAGCCATATTTTTCACGCATCTCACTCCATTTTAATAGCGCCCGAAAAGTGGGGTGTGGGGTAATTAATATCCCCTTCTACACAACCACACAAATCAGCCTCATTTGCTAGAGGTTCCTAGGGCAGAGAGTGTTGGACTGCTCTTGAGTCTCGCTCCAGAGCATCATCTTAATCTCTTCACCCAGCCCATCTCTCCTATGAATAGTAAGTTGGTATATTTGTGAAACCTTGGGATCCAGAATAATGACAGAAGAGGGATTTCCACGCACCCAGCCACCCACCCCTCCAAAGAAACTCCTTCATAATCCATTGCTTTATGTAACCAAAAATAAACTAGTGGGCTTGGTCACAGTGTGCCCCCCCTCTGCCTGTCCCACTGTGGTCTTGGGTGGGTGGGATTTCAAAGGGGTTTTTAAGTGCCTGTTGCAAGTGCTTTTTCCAAGAGAGTGGGCACTCCTATTTCTCTCTTTTTTTCTCCCAACCCTACTATTCCAATACTCTTGTCCCACGAAACCCCCCTTCCTTCCTCTCTCCACGCCTCTTCACCCACCCCCAAATTAAGGCACTGTTTTGCCACCTCGCTGAATAAATCCCTCCTCGAGAGGGAGGGCCGGAAGCTGCCCCATCTCCCCCTTTCTGTCAAAGAGGGAGATTTGGAGCCAGGGGGTAAAACTGCAGGATGACAGTGCCTTGCAAAAAAAAACAAAGCAGGGATCTTTCCCCCCCAAACCCACACTTGTGTACCTCCTAATTGCGCCCCAAACCCAGGCAGGCATACCCGCCTTTGTTTTCAGCTACCCCACATTCAAGCAGGAAAGAGACTATTTCCATGTCCCAGCAGGAGAGAGAAATGTCTGTTGTTGTTTTTTCTGCATCCAGACGAAAAAACAAAACCACCACTCAAAACGGGTTTTGGAAGAGTGCTGTTCGCCTGGAAGGCTACGTCTTCGATCATAACCTGCTGTTTGTCGGGTGGACATAACGAGGCATCATGCTAAAGGGTTTTTTTTTTATACAGCCTTATTCAAATTCTTGTACATATCGAGGAAATGGGGGTGTCTCATTTTAAGAATGTAAAAACAAAACAAACAAAAACACAAATAAAGGGTTTTGAGATTTCATAACTTTGTGCTCCCTTAGAAAAAGAAAACGGCTTTGTGAATCTTGGAAAGTCACTGTTTAATGCATTGCTCTTGATTTGAGTGCATTGCTATAATGTTTCCCCAAAAAGTGGTTCTGCATTGACTGCAAGTTCTCTACCAGGAACATCTGAATTCTGCCACATGAAGCTTAATAGGGGAAGCTTATTTCTCCACCTCTAGCTTCTAAGAGTGTGGGGATTATTGCCCATGGATTTACAAGCAGAGTTTGGTAGACCTATTCGAGATGATAAAAGCCGAGATTCTTGAAAAGCTAAAATTCCAGACTATGCTGCTATAGATGCATATAGGTAAAGGGACCCCTGACCATTAGGTCCAGTCGTGGCCGACTCTGGGGTTGCGGCGCTCATCTTGCTTTATTAGCCGAGGGAGCCGGCGTACAGCATCCGGGTCATGTGGCCAGCAGGACTAAGCTGCTTCTGGCGAACCAGAGCAGCGCACGGAAACGCCGTTTACCTTCCTGCCGGAGCAGTACCTATTTATCTACTTGCACTTTGACGTGCTTTTGAACTGCTAGGTTGGCAGGAGCAGGGACCGAGCAACGGGAGCTCACCCCGTAGCAGGGGTTCGAACCACCAACCTTCTGGTCGGCAAGTCCTAGGCTCTGTGGTTTAACCCACAGCGCCACCCTTACAGATGCATATATGACTCCGCTTAGAACATGGTAGGGGTGAGGATTCTGTGGTCCTCCAGACATTGTTGGACTCCCAACACCCATCAGCCTGAGCGAGGATGGTCAGTATTTGGAGAGCCACAGGTTCTCCAAAGAGGCCTTGCTTCTGATTAAAGATAATGCATGGAATTTCTAGGATGAGATTTCTCCTTCCCTCAAACACTTCAAGGCTGATGAAAAACTTCTCTTTCATGTTTTCCTTTCCTATCGTAACCTGAATATCGAACATGCTTTGCAAGGAGCCCTGGGCTTGCTTGCTTGTCGCCCCACATTTCCATTCTGGGAGTGGAAACCTGTGGAGAATCATTTTAAAGGATCCCTTCAAGGATCGTGCAGATAATCCCGTTGCAAAGAGCTAATCTTGAGGGGTAGGTTTTGCGGCTATATGTTTCCCACAGAGACACCGCTGATCCACAGGAGCAGCCCTGTTATATCATAGACAACGCTGGTTGAATATGCACGCTTGGAAAATGCTCGGCGCTGTGATAAGTGGCATGGGGATCATCGTATACGCCAGTTATAAACAGGGATGCTGGCAAGGCCTAGCAGACCTTACTGTAGCTCTGGATGAATCCAAGTGGTCCCTGGGACAGTCCCCTTGTGTCAGTCCTTTGCGGTGGAAGACAGGGCAGTACAGTGGTACCTCAGGTTACATACGCTTCAGGTTACAGACTCCGCTAACCCAGAAATAGTGCTTCAGGTTAAGAACTTTGCTTCAGGATGAGAACAGAAATCATGCTCCGGCAGCAGCAGGAGGCCCCATTAGCTAAAGTGGTGCTTCAGGTTAAGAACAGTTTCAGGTTAAGAACGGACCTCCGGAACAAATTAAGTACTTCGCCCGAGGTACCACTGTACTGTAGTGAGCAAGCTGTCCATCAAAGAACCATGGACAGTATCTAAGACACGGATTCCATTAGCACAAGGATTCCACAAAATTGTCAAGTTTGAAGGGACCCAAATTTGCTCTAGAGGATTGAGGGAACCCCAGAACAGTACAAGAGGAACAGGGAGGCGGTTCTGTTGCCCAAGTGTAAATCCTTACATTAATGGAACATAGTGCTACATTGGGTGCGATCCTCCTTTGCCATTATTGATTATTCTCACTGAGGAGCCTCTTAATACCTTATTTTAAAAGCTGCCGAGTCCTGAAGGCAGGCCTGTTGAAGACTGTTCATGGAGCAAGTGGAAGTGAGCTGTGTTCTGGCCTGAAGGAAGGAGTGATGGTGGCCTAGGGCAGGGTTAGACAGACTTCAGGTATTTCCTTCCCCCCAATTATTATTTGGACATGAAGATACCCCAACCAGAGCCAGATGCAAAATAATGGCGGAGATTGCTCCAGTACACTTCAGATGAAGAGCACGGTGACTCCAAGGCACAGGAATTTGCTTTCGGGATCAGAACTGGTTTCACAATCGTCACGCGAGCCCACTTAGCAAGATGTTTTTCCCCTGCGCTTTGGATCTAGAGAACCTTCAGATATTGTTAATCCGAACTATAGCCTACGCCAGCTGAACCTGATGGGAACTGGAGTCTTAAATGCACCTGAAGCTTCACAGGGTGCCCATCTCTGCTGATCAATTAGCCATGGGTGGATAAATGTGTTTCCTAGTTCCGTGTCAGTTTTGCATGTTTGATAGACCTTGCGTTGATGTGGATTTAAAAACAAAGCTCTAGTTGCATTTAAATCGTATGTATTTTTATGTGCAGCTCTACATCAAAATGCAGACGTGTGCAGTTGATAACTGCATTCTGAGCCACAAGCGAATCTTGGGACTGCAAATTAAGCTGGTTTGTTTTAAAGCGGACCAGATGGAATTATTAAAACAGCACAGCACATCAAGGCAGTTTCACTGCCCTCTTTGTCCCTCCATTATTCGTTCTCCAACCCACTTGTCAGGGACCACTGGTCATCCCTGACCACTGGTCTTGCAAGCTACGGATGATGGGAGTCCAAAATCAACTGGAGACCTGAGTCTGGGGAAACCCTGATCTGGGCCATTGGCATGCCTCCAAACTGCAAGCAAGGAAGGGTGCTGCTGCTGCTGCACTTCGTTCCTGCTTGTGAGCTTCCCACAAGCACCTGGTTCACCGCTGTGAGAACAGGATGCAGGAGCAGATGGACCACTGGCCTGATCCAGTAGGCTCTTCGAGTTCTTAAGCAGTTGCACATTTCAGGGGACCAACCGCACAGAAGCATCTGAAGGCAGTACATGCATCTGGTTGGTCACTGTGAGGTACTGGACTAGACGAGCCACTGGTCTTAATGCAAAAAGGCTCTCCTAATGTCCTTAAGGGAAGCGGGTGGCGCTGTGGGTAAAAGCCTCCGTGCCTAGGGCTTGCCGATCGAAAGGTCGGCGGTTCAAATCCCCGCGACGGGGTGCGCTCCCGTTGTTCGGTCCCAGCGCCTGCCAACCTAGCAGTTCAAAAGCACCCCCGGGTGCAAGTAGATAAATAGGGACCGCTTACCAGTGGGAAGGTAAACGGCGTTCCGTGTGCTGTGCTGGCTCGCCAGATGCAGCTTTGTCACGCTGGCCACGTGACCCGGAAGTGTCTGCGGACAGCGCTGGCTCCCGGCCTATAGAGTGAGATGAGCGCACAACCCTAGAGTCTGGCAAGACTGGCCCGTACGGGCAGGGGTACCTTTACCTTTACCTTAATGTCCTTAAAGGTAAAGGGACCCCTGACCATTAGGTCCAGTCATGGCCGACTCTGGGGTTGCAGTGCTCATCTCGCTTTATTGGCTGAGGGAGCCGGCGTACAGCTTCCGGGTCATATGGCCAGCATGACTAAGCCGCTTCTGGCAAACCAGAGCAGCGCACGGAAACGCCATTTACCTTCCCGCCAAAGCAGTACCTATTTATCTCCTTGCACTTTGACATGCTTTTGAACTGCTAGGTTGGCAGGAGCAGGGACGGAGCAGCAGGAGCTCACCCCGTAGCAGGGGTTCGAACCACTGACATTCTGATCGGCAAGTCCTAGGCTCTGTGGTTTTAACCCACAGCGCCACCCGCGTCCCTTAATGTTCTTAGGGGGCCATTTTTATGGATGTGTTTTTTCCACTCTGCAGATTTTTCATAATTTTGGGGTATGTACAGTCTGCTGGTAAGTCTCTCGTAGTTTTTTGGCTAAATAACCACAAGCACAGGAAGACTGATCTCTCTTGGTGCACAGATGCTTTTCCGAGATTGCTTTGGAAATGCTGCTTTCTTTCCCCATTGCCACAATCTCCATTATTGTGGAAGTTTTGAGAAATGGCTGCTTCCCCCCTATGGTGCAACTTTGTGAAAGTGCGGTATGGACTGCAGAATTCATTTTTTGGAAACTCGGCTTGCACATATGTTGCGTTTTTTGTTTTAATGGAACAAAGGCGTTGGGGCAAAGCAGTTTCTAGCACTTGATAGTTGCAAATATACACGCTGAAAATGAAGAGTGAAGCTTTCTGGAAATCTCAGAAGCCAGCGGCAATGGGGTAAGGAGAAGTAAACTAAGATCAGGATGCAACAGGACTTCTTTCCATGTCCCTGCAACTAGAAAACACATGGAAGTAAATTGTGCAAGTTTGCCTAACTTATGCAGGCTTGAGAATCTGCCATGTCTGGTACAAAATAAACCGAGACCAGACTGTGCTGAAGTCCTTTTTAGAAACTGCCATACGTGTTTGTGGTTGTTTGGGGCTGTTATCTCTTAAGGTCTGAGGAGATGCTTGTGGAATTAATAACCTCCTTTTGCTCCTGTTTGCTTTTAGAGGGTGGGGCTTAAAGGATATTAAGACCCCAGAGCAAGCCTGAAAAGGACTGCACTCGTTCACCTCTCTTAATACCTACGGAGCCAGCCTCCAGCATCATGCCTGCCAGAAAGACCGGTTTGTGCTGTACAAGATTGGGGGGTGGCAGGGAAAAGAGACAGCACACATCTCAGGTCCTACCCTGGGGCAAGCCCTGTCTGCAGAGCTCGCTTCCTCTTCCACCTAGGTTGCAACCTAGCCAAGCACCCTTGGGTGCAAAAGGAGGTGGAGCAGAGTTGTGGACCCTCAAACGCAGCACCAAGGTCTCTTAGCATTTTCGGTGTCCGAGCATTCATTACCACTTTGCTTAATACTCCCCAAAGAACTTGTAAGTAAGAGGAGAAGGATGGAGTGCAAACTAGATTTTGCTCAACTTTTCACAATGGTTTCAATGGGCGTTAAGGAGTGAAGTTAAGTTTCATTGATTTCCATGGGAATGAGCAGCTGACGTAAATTACGATCCGGCAGAATCAAATGTTTGGTTTCATTTTGTTAAGTGGGCCG